TGGTGGAGCCTCTGTTTAGAAGACAGAGGCCCACCGAGGCCGCCCACTCCTCTACGGCCTCGCCCCTGGCGTCCGTCCTGGGGGAACCCCACGCAATGGACTTTGCGTTGAAGTCCCCCAGCACAAGTACGTGCCCAGACGCTAGTCGCCGTATCGAGGTCTCCAAGCTGGTTAGGAAAACCTCGAAGTCGTTCAAACTCCGGTTGGGGGAGAATTAGACACCATATATGGTGATCCCCCCCCACTCGACGGCAACATATCCAGTGCCCTTGTCTCTTAGCGACAAGGGCGGGGAATGAGCCGTCGTGGAACCGACGACTGCCACGGAGCCGTCCCAGTCACCCATCCAGTTTGGACGGGGAGGGACAGAATAGGGCTCCGCGACTACGGCAACACCTATCGACCACTGTGCCATGGTTTGCAGGAAGAGATCCTGCGCCGCGGCACAGTGGTTCAGGTTCGTCTGGACCAGGAGGTTGGAGACTTGGTCCATTACTGGATCGTCTCTACAACCTCCTCCATGGGCGACGACGACGACGCACGTACTATATCAGAGGCAGCCTGGGTCGACTGGCTAGCCCCTGACGTCTGCCGAGAACTGCGGGGAGGCTTGCAGCCTCTCTGCCCCATCTGGTGATTGGCGGGCTTATTGCCCGCCGCACACGCTGGGCAGTGAGGGGCGGCAGAGCATTCTGCCGCCTTATGCCCCGGTTGACCGCAGCGGAAGCACAGTCCGCCGCAGTCGAAACAGCTGTCGCACTTGACGCGCGTGTGTCCCGATGCTAGGCATTTGTAGCACCTCATCGGTCTCGCCGCCAGGACTGTGATCCTGGCGCTCACGAAACCGATGAGCAGCCTGCCGGCGTCGGCCAATACTTTGGCCGACGCTACGGGACAGCTGACCCACACGGCGCCAAGCCCTCCTGGACCGGGGCGGATGGTGCCGACCCTGACGTTGTCCGCGCTGCACCCCGTCTTCTCCCGGATTACAGCGCGGACATCTTCGGCCGTCACAGAGTCGTCCAGGCCCGAGATGCGCAGCTCTGCGCACTTAGTAGGCCTGGCGATCTTTACACCATCCGTGGCTGTAAAGAGTCCCCGCAGCTTCTCGGCAAATGTGTCCGCCGTCTTAGCGCCTTCAGCCCCAGGGAACTCGAGGACTCGAGCTCCCGTCTGGGCGAGGCGCATCCTGACCCCCACCGTCCCAAAGTCGTTGGCGAGGCTGTCCCGGGCCTTTTTGAAAACGGCCGCGTAGGACAGCCCGCCGTCCGCCGCCTCCGGGGACACGGTCACCACTACAGCCGCGGTTTTGGGCGGCTGCAGCTTCCGCGGCCTCTTTGTGGAGGCCGTTGCCACCGGTGGCGAAGGCTGGGCTTGGGCTGCTTTTTTGGCAGCCTTTTTGGCCCGCCTTCGGGACTTCTTGGAGCCCCTCGCCTCCTGCCAACCCTCGTTGGAGGGGGCAGGTGCGGAGGGGCCCGGCAGGGGTGTCGGAGTGGGGAGCGGAGGGAATGCCACTCCGCTCCTCGGAGCTGTTCTAGGCCCCGTCTTGGCCGGCGCCTGGGGATGCGCCCTGGCCGGCGCCTTAGCCGGTGCCTTGGCCGGCGCCTGGGCCGGTGCCTTGGCCCCCCTCCTCGGCTTTTGTGGAGCCGATGGAGTAGGGGCAGACGCCGCCGCCGCGTAAGAAACGCGGCCTCCCACAACGGGGAGCGCGGTCGGAGCGGCGGCCTTAGGCCGCTGTGCCGACGCGAGCGGGGGGCGCATAATCGGCGCAGGAGGCAATCTCGCCTCCAGGCCAGCCAGGCGTCCGTCCAGCATATTCCCAACTGCGATGAGGATTTCTCGCAGTTGGGAGTCAAATGCCCCTGAGTTGGTGGTAGGGGCAGGCTGGGACGCGGACGGGGCTGCCCGCTCGGGGAGGTTCGCCTGGAAGCGGGCGAACTGAGCGCTCAGCTCGTTCACCCGCTCCGTCAGCTTCTCGTTGGCCACCTGCAGGCGAGAGACGTCGCCCGCTAGGCCCTCCACGACCTCCGACAAAGCGGAGGAGGAGTCCTTAAGGGCCCTCACAAACGAGCCCTTAAGGTTCACGGATTTGGTGGCCACCTTGTTGATGACGGCCACCGCCGCTTTCGCCCTCTCCTGCACGGACACGGGAGCCTTTGGGGCATTTCCCCCCACCGGCTCCCGAACCTTGAGCAGGAGATCCGCGATCTCCTCCTCCGCTACGGCCTCGCCGTCCACTCGTACGCTCCTGTAGGACTCCGCGTTTGAGAACGCGGAGCCTGACGGGGTCGAGACCGGGGCCGTTTTGCGTGCCCTCCCTCGGCGGCTGCTTGCCACCTTTGGTGGCATCATTTCGCAGGACGTGTCGGTTTCCACGTCCCCTGAGCGTCCGCGTTTTCGGCTGTCGCTTCGCTCCGCCTCCATGGCCTCCGCGCCATCCGACGAAGCGGCGGATCCGGAACGCAGCCGATCCGATGCTCTTCGGCTCCCAGAGATCAGAGTCAGACTGACTTCTGGGAGCCCCATCGAGATGGGCGTTCCCGACGCCACCTCACCCTCAGTGGACGACCCATCGACTCCACTGTTCCTCTTCTCTCTTGCACCTTTCGTTGCAGTGTCCGTTTTGCTTGCCTTTTGTTGTTGTTTTGTTCCGATCGTTTTCTTTGATTGAGTTTGATTATTGTCCATAATTGATCCCACGAGTGGGGGAGAACTAAAGGTCCACCCGGGCAGAGATCCCCCATTACCCGGGCAAGCGTAAGTTTTTAACCCAACCGAGGGGTCCGCAGGTACCTCGGCTTGGAGTGCGCTCGCGACTGAACTTCCCATCAGCCATGCATCCCCTGGCCACGCACCAGAACACGGGATTCGGGGAATTTTTTAGAGAGGTTATCTTCCTCGCGGTCCGGGCGGTTAAGCCAAGACCCTCGCCCCCGATCAGAGCCGCGAGACTTAACCACAGCGCTCTTCTCGGGATTACGATATGCCGACGGTTGACAGGGAGACTACGTCCCCCTGCCTGCTCGGTGGTAGTGTGAGTACACGCCGAGCCCGTCCTCCTTTCTCCACCGCTGTCAGCGGAGAAACTGTGGCCCCTACAGGGCCCCGCCATCAGGTTTTTTACCGAGGTTTCCTCCTCCATGCTCCGAAGAGCGAAGAGCCAGCAGGGCAACCGGCAGACACGCCCACCCTGCTGGACCAGGCCTTGCCCGAGAGCCGATGAACGGCTGCCTCTTCTGCTAGAATATTGGCCGCTGGCGATAATCCTCTCCTCCAAGAGGACAAGGAGGGAACAGTACCATCGCCAGCGTTTCCAGGGTGCACCACGAGGAGGTTTTCTAGCCCAGCACCCCAAACCCTATACCAACCCGTCTGGCCAGCGCGGTATAGTAGGCCAAAACCTCCTTTCTAAGGAGAGGCCTATGTCCAGCAGTGGACTAGTATAGGCTGTTGATAGATTGATAGAAGATTATTTTATTAATAAACTTCAGGTATTATAACATAGACATACTTTGCCGACCTCAGATCTGAGATTTCTCCACGAGCATCTAAAGAATGAATATTAATCACGGAACCCAGGGAACCTAATATTTTATATATATGGTACTCTAACGTAGACTGTGGGGGTTATTATTCTTTCCCCTTCAACCCCGAGATAATAAGCTTAGCCTTTGTTTTTAATACTCGCCAGTAAATGGTTTTGTTTGTGTGAGTGAAAAGAAAGAAAATTTCTGACAAATGCAAAATGGGAAATAAAGTTCTCTTTGAAATCGTGCTCTGGTGTAGACAGACTTTTACTACGAAAGGGTCTAAACATAAAAATATTTTGTTGCAGGTACGTATACGTAGACGGATATAGTGGCAATACTTTAATCTTACTGTAATCTTACGGATTTATTATATTTCCAACGCTTTCAATTTTCTTCTGATTAATTTCGTTGCGGGTTCCAAGACAGTTTATTTTTTTCCTGGCACTGCCCGAGTGTCATAACTCGGTATGTTCGTAAGTCACTACTTTTGATCCTGGTGTACAGGAATTACACTGGGGGGCGTGTGGAAGGGGTTAGTAGCGTTTAAAAAAAGTAATTTAATCTTTGTAAGTGTCAAAAACGATTTAAAATAAATTGGATCATTTTTACACGCTTTATATTAGCTTCACTTGTATGTTTGTTTGTATGTTTGTAACCGACTCCTTTGGGCGTGAATTTGACTGACTTTAAACGGTCAGAATTCGTTCAAACTTTGTAGATATATCGAGGACCGATGACAATACACTAATTAAAAACAAAAAAAAAATATATAGTTTAAAAAACTAAAAAACACGCTTTCAATAGAAAATGAAACTAACTAACTCTTTATTTATAAAATTAATTATAGTACACGTAGCTAGAAATATTTCTAAAATCTAACTAATCAAATTGCCTGTCATTAACATGAACCACTTATGTGTTTAATAATCGTGTCTTGTTTGTTTTGTTTAATTTTTGATGTTCTTGCGAGTAAAATATCGAATAAATCAATAAATAAACGACTACCGCACCACATTATGACTACCATAAAAATGACATAGCTGCAATACAAAAACTAAGCTCTGTGTTGTTTAATGTATTTATGTATCTTGACCAAATTACAGAACTAAACACTTCATGAACTAGTCAACACTTTCATGAAATTTACTCACAATTGACTATACCACTATCTGACGAATGAGTTTGAAGTCGTTTTTATAAAATTACTCGTAATTGTACCAAATAAATGTCAACAGTTGTCAGCCGCGTGGGGAATTAACAAAAGGCACTTCACGAACCTTTCGATACCTGTCAAATATTTTATACTATTTAAACTGATCTATGAAATTATAATATAGCGAACATTTTCCCAGAATACCAATACATTACGCCTTACTTTAAGTATAAGTTCAAATCTAACAATTAGGTTAATGATTTTATGATGGTTATTAAATCAACATTGATTTAACTCTTGTATTAACTTTGTTCTAGAGTCTAAACCAGAGTTGGTGTACTGGTTTTCGGAACAGACGTTGCAACCAGGTCCGAGTGTTTCTTTAAAATGCGTTGCGATGGGACATCCACCGCCGCAATTCACATGGCTTCTTGATGGGTTCCCTATACCTACAAATTCAAGGTAAATATGTTTTTACTAATAAATATTGAACTTACTATGCACGTGGCCTGATATGGTGAATGGATACCAGCGCTTTTAATAGTTTGCAATGTCAAACTAATAATAGTGCTATTTACCAAAAAAACACCCGCTTCTCAGCGCGAACACTCCGCTTCTCATCCAAGACTTGCGGTAACTCTTTTAGTAGCTTACTCACCTTTTTTAATTTTTCTTATCACAAGTCATCTTCTTCCTTTGTCCCGTCTGAAAACGTACATTTCCAAGGACGATTGGCGTCAAGGTGGCGGCCAGCTTTGGCGGCACTAGAAGACATACAGGAGAATAATGATGATGTTTCCTTAACATACTCACATCATGAGGCGTGTTACTTGTTGTTACGCAATCGTCAATATATCGATCATTTTTAATTGCAGAAGTCAAAGCTACTGTATTAGTAAGGTTTCCCATAAGTTACTTACAAGGCCAGCCAAGTAGATTTAGTTTTCTAACGGAATTTCAAATATTAATGTAAAAAATTATATTACACACAATTAAGGAATACGCCACACCAAATTATTCAAATACTTTTTCATATATATGCTTCAAACTGGTATTACAACCTTAGCACACGATGGATTTGGATTTTATTTATCATAGAGATAGGTCGCATTAACATGGGAAGTCACATATGGAAACAAATGAGAAATATATGCATAGGCAGTTCCTTTATTTGTCGGTTTATAGGATTTTACCAGAACAACTTCTATAAATATAATCCACTGACATTGGATTATATTTATAGAAGTTGTTCTATGCCAAATTAATTATACGGCGGGCGTAGGAAAGCCAAACGAGTGTTTTATGCAGCTATTATTCAAAAGTAATGTGAAAGTTGTTTGATTATTCTTAATTTCCATTTCTTATGTTTTTATTTTTCAGTTTTCCTATTAATATCACAACAATAATGTATTAATTTTAATCACTGCAAAGTGTGGTCCAAAATATGTTAAGTCGATTTCTTCTCACAAGGCTGAACCATTTGAAATCGGGTGGTTACAGATTACACAGAATTATCGGTTTTCAATCACTTTGACATTGGCACACTATTTTTGCTTTAACTTTGTGTATTAATATACCTTGTGTAGTATTATAATTATATTTAAATCAAGCAATGGATGGTTTTAAATAATTCGTGACCAATTTTATGAAATGAAAATATTGAATTTGATCGACCGACCGTCCGGATCGTGACATATCCGATCACCGATCAACTTTTCTTTTTTCGTAGAAAGTTGTTAGTTTCGAAACACTCAAGTTCTTGCTTTTTATCCCACACGGGTACTGTAATAGTTTCATTGTTATAAATAAATAGAACGACGAACATGATATAACAGTAAAAGTTGGAGTGACTAAATAACTTTTGTCATCTCTGCCGTTCGTACCCATGTTATAAAACTTTTTAACGCGTTTTGATCGGTTTGACGATACGATTCGCGTTTATATTGAACTTAATCGTATTTAATGGCTGAAAAAGAAAGATGGAAGTAAGGCTTCCAAAGCTTTTATGTGTTGAATATGAAATCCTTTTAACAATCGAGCAAATTCATTCAATTGTTGCTAATTCTCAAAAATGTTAATGTTAAAAATGTGCCGTTGATCGATAGGTTTAATGTACCGGATTACTCGTGGCCGCCGTAATTCAGTTCTAACGTAAATATGCTATCATGAAATCCTGGGTTCGATTCCCGAGTCGAGGAAATTATTCGAAAATACTTAGAAATAAAAATTGATCTAGTGACGTGTAATTTTTATAATGATAATATGGGCCCTAATATGTAATGCATATAATATTTTACTCTTTGCATAACCAATATTATGTTATTTAGTTTACATTAATTATTACACAATTATAATGTTACTAAAAATACCTATAAAATTTAATAACTATCACATTCAGATTTGCTGTCGGTCAACGCGTCACACTCCAAGATGACGTAGTCAGCCATCTTAACATCAGCCGAGTAACAGAACAAGATGGCGGAGAATATGCTTGTGTTGCCTCCAATACCGGGGGCAAAGCAATCCATGCAGCTAGAGTCAATGTATACGGCCTTCCATATATTCGTGAAATGCCCAAAGTCACGGCAGTGGCGGGAAGCGATTTGAATATAAAGTGCCCAGTGGCTGGCTACCCCATCGAGTCAATTACTTGGGAAAAAGGTAAGCTTTTTAACTTATTCAAAGACAGGTGGATCGTGTAGAACATTTCCCTCAGTAATACGGCCTTACATTTTAAAGGCCTAAATGTGTTTAAAAAGAAACTGAAAGACAACTGGAAATCGTTTGTTAAAACTTGCAATCGTTCAGCTACAAAACTAAATTACCTAAATAAGTCTATTGTAAGTTGTTATATTAACCGATCTTATTCTACTAATAGAAATTAAATCAAACTTGATATCTTTTTCCCATGAAAGCTGTGCTTAATCAAACATCAGCTAACCTTAAAATTGTTCCTTCCATTAAATGTAATTTTAGTTATGACTGAAGGATGGAGATCAACGCGATGCATTAGTATTGTGTATAATAATTTCCTGACGTTTCAATCAGGTTGGATTATTAATCGTGTTAATTAACGACCATTAGTAATAGTGCCATATTAATGTAAGTGATACAAATAAGGCCTACATTTTTTCAAATACTCATAGCTTGATAAATATTTGAAGAAGGTGATAAATAAAAGCAAGGTATAGTTCTTTGGTTTATAAATTTTAATACATCATCATCATCAGCCTATCGCAGTCCACTGCTGAACATAGGTCTCTCTTATTGCACACCACTTCGATTTGATTTTCAGCTTCTCGCATCCAGCTTCTGCCAGCCATCTTACGCAAATCGTCCATCCACCAATTTTTTTTAAATAATTAAGAAAAATTGTTATAAACTTAAAAAAATAATCACTTAAACAGAGGTAATACTGGAACCTTAGCCTTTGGCCTATTTAAAACTTAGTATAATATGTCCTAAAAGCTTAAATTATATGAATGATGTTATTAGAGTATTAATTGTATAGCAATATGTATTTTTGTGACTTTTACCAAGTGTTTAAATGAGATTCTTGCATAAATTTCTTAGTTATTTTACTAAATATTTCTTATAAATTGAAGTTGAACTTGTTAATATAACAAAGAATAAAGAATTGTACAAAAAAACTTATAAAATGTAATAATAATAACTTCACACCTCACACACGGCCGTCTGATTCCAAACTAATCAGAGCCTGTGCTATGGGAACCAGAGTGCTGATAAACATACTTATATATTTCTAAATACATACATATTATAAATAAATTACACCCAGACACAGAACAAATCATCGTGCTCATCACATAATTATTTGAGGTGGGTGGATCACATAATTATTATTCCCTGGGTGGGAATCGAACCCACGACACCCGGCTGGTCAGAGTCACTAACAACTAGACCAACAGGCAATACTGAATACAAAATAAAATTAGCAAATTAACACATCTTTAAAAATTTAATAAACGTTGATAGTCTTTTTTAATTAATAAAGCCTTAATAAAGCCTTGCTACACTAATAGAGTTGTTGTAGTTATTTATAATTAACGCTGAGCCTAACATCATCATCATCAATCAACAGCCTTTACTAGTCCACTGCTAGACATAGGCCTCTGATTAGAAAGGAGGTTTTGGCCTACTATACCACGCTGGCCAGACGAGTTGGTAAAGGGTTTGTGTCAAGTTTTCCTTCTCTCTGCAGTGCTGTTGTCCTGCGTAGTTTGATCCCTTCGCCTGTTACGACACCCACGGGATGAATACGACACCCACGGGGTGGTGACACTATGTATTCCTAATCCGTCACCACACGGACGCTGAGACTAAAGTGGCTAAATATTAATTATATGCCAAACCACCGGCTGATTCATCGCATATCCTGACAACATTCACGGTCTTGTTTCGCGCACAGACACCGCTACACCGCTGCGTTGCAGCGGTCGTTTTTTTAAAGCTGGAATATAAACATTTAGTGATACATAATTCAATTTTCAGACTGTTATTTTATTTTTGTAACGCAATTCGTACACAATTCTGTATACAAAAGGAAATTTCATTTTAAATTTTCAGCGAGGCATAAAAATTCAATTACTTACATCCCTAGTGTTTAGATAATTGTTTTTAAATGGTTATGAAGTAAAAATATGCTGTTATAGAAGCATTGTTACATTAGTGTATTTGTATATTTACTGCCTCACTAAATCCTAAACTAAACCTAAATCACCTTTCCAAGGAGAGACCTATGTCCACTAGTGGACTATTAAAGGTTGTTGATGATGACGATGCGACATGATATGACAACAAACAGAACATGAACGAACATAAACGTAGATATATCATATCCACCAAAGATATCAGAAACACTGTTTATATTTTACCTATTTTGGTATATAAATATTTTCATACCTATTTAAAATATTTAGAATAATTATACGATGCCTAATTACACGATGCCTAATTATACGATGCCTGCATGATAAACAAAATTATTAAAAGATATTACGTTACTCTAGATAATTAAACGTACTATTAAGTTAATTAATCTGTAAAGGTATAATGTCACATGAAATATGAAGATGGTTATTCCGACCTTTAAGCTACAACTGTGCAAATACATAATTATTATTTATGACGCGAAATTTAGCCCCAGAGAGGTGTTTACCTCTGGAACGAAAATTACTTGAGACACTAATAAAAGTCGACTTTTCCAGAATAATTTTTGGTCAAGAGTCTGTATTTTTTAGGAGTTTATTTACATTTTGGAACCAAGTCCCTTACTGCAAGTTACACGCTCTAAGTGATGGGAGCGAGACCGCAAATGTATAACAAGACTTTTTTCCGACACTAACATAAACAATAATGACTGTATGGCAAAGGTCTACCAAAAGACGAAAGGAACTTCGTTCCGACCGAGGGTCCATAGTCCCTTACAACGTGTTCTTTCATTTTATGTGGTTAGAAAAAATACCCAGTGCATTCAGTTTGTTTTTTATGTTGTTGTTGTTGCTTGTTATGTTTGTAAAAACTAATTTGGTTTACGCAGAAAACGTTAAAACTTTCCATAGTGAGAGTAATAGCTCCACATCTAGAAAAGAGAGCCTATATATTTTAACTCTCTAACTAGTACTCGTATTTGGAATATCCAATTTCTATACTTGAAGTATTAAGCGGGGTCCGATAGATATGGTCACCTCACCTGGTCGCGGGACCTTTGTGTTGGCAAAAACGTTGGAGAAAAAGCCTGTGGCATTAAGTCCGCCATTGTACAATGTATTGTTATTTGTGCCAAAGAATTAAATAAATATATGAATAACTTTTACGGTGTTGTTTAGAACTCAAACACTGGAATGCCTCGACCAAATATCTAATGGCCATGTTCCCGGATTAAAAGTTTGTAAGTTATTTGTGCAGTATTAAAAAACAATTACTGTCAATATACATAATCCTATACTGACACTTATTATTGTACTTCAATATTGTCTTTCACCCCTATTTTGAACAGCTTAAGTAAAGAATCGTTTTAAAACCAATGAACTCTACCACTTTAAATTGAGTGACAAATTGTAGTGAAGTGCATTGTTTATTTATAGATGGAATGCATTTTAAAATTTCCTTAGTACACACTCTGACAATATTAAAATAATTAAAATCTTGATTTTTTCTGAAATCGGGTCGCCACTGTAGTAGTATGAATTTGAAATACCCCTTTAAATAAGACAAATTCATACAGGTATTTTGGTATATTTGATAATTAAGGGGAGTTAAAATGCTAAATAAAGCGGAAAGACGTCCACTGCTGGCCTCCCCCAAGGCTCGCCACAAAAATCGGTCCTGTGCTGCCCCACACCAAAACATACAAATAATGTATTTATGTATATTAGTAGATATTTTTTTTTGTAAATACAACTTTATTGTACATAAATACATCAAATATAAGAAAGTACTTATTTATTTACACTGCGCTTTAATCAACCCGGCTACCGCCGGTTTGGCAATCGAATACCACCAATGCACAAACAAATTGAGTACTGCCTCACGAAAATATTTATCTATTGCATATATGACTGCCCCGGAGGTGCAGTGGTAGCGTATGAGTAGCTGAGGTCTTGGGTTCGATTCCCGGGGCGGGCGCCAAATGTTTGTATTATCTGCAAATATTTGTTTCGGAGTTTGGGTGTTTTCTATCTATAATATGTATGTATTTACAAAAAAGTATGAAAGTATTCTATCAGTCAATCTAGCTTTCATAGTACAAGATCCGCTTAGTTTGAAACTAGATGGCGATGTGTGTCATTAAAAAGTATTATTATTTATATATTGCAAAGTCAGTACGTAAAACATCGCATTTAGAAGGAAGGTGGCGGCCCCTAGTATCGCTAATGATATAAATTTGACTAATTTTGTCGGTGCCTCACGTACAGAAATTGAATTGTCGCCCGGAGGCTTCTGTAAAAACGATTTTATGTTCGCTACCAGAACAGTTATTACTTTTTTTCCTGTAAATATTTATTAATAAACTTTTTTACACACGATTCGTGCTGTTTATGTTGAAACCTATTGCTATTGGTATTGGTTGTGGGCTTCGGTTTCCGCATTTAGACTCAGAGTGGTCCTTTATGCGTCGAGGATTGGTTGAGTAGGTGAGCCAGCCAAGCTCCTTCCAGAAGCGCAGAAGCCTCCTGGGGCGTTCACAGGCTTCTAGGAGCGAGTTTATATCGGGAATGATACTTGCCCGTTGTGTGGCCACTCCCTCGCATTCCAGGATTACGTGGACAGCCGTTTCTTCAGCTTCCAGACATCCCCTGCACAGGGGACTGTCCTGACTATAAGATTAGAGGTGGTAGACCGACCCTTCTAAAAGCCGTGTTGGTCTTCACCAAACCTTAGATTAAGGGCATTATAAACTTGAATGTTTACGATTTTTCTAAAATCTTAGCGAACACGACGACGCGAACACCTTCGAGATATGTCTATAGTTTTCGATCATATTTTTAGGTCCCTCTTTATGTATCGGTGTTATATTCACCGACTTCCAGATTGTGGGCATCACACCGGTATCAAGAGATGCTCTTATATTACTTCTTAACGTTTAACGCGCCTAAAATATATATGGCTTATTGTACATGTGTACCCGAAAGTAATTT